TATCCTGAATCAAAAACCTCCTGGAATTCTATTATAGCGTAACAGAAGCAAGGCAGGAGAGAGAGGGATGGGTAGATTGCATCTTATTGGAGTGAATAGAGGTTTTCGAGACGGCATCGGTACAAAAGCTAGAGGAGCATGCAGGAATGAGAAAGAAAGCACTAGAGGCAGCAGTATATCTGGCAGGACGGAAAAAAAGTGATGTTCTCTGAAAGGGAGACGGAATGGGTGTGAGCGACGAGTGAGGTTCCACAGAGTAAAGGAGCGTGGGGTGAGGATTACACCTAGAATATCTCCTGAAGCATAAATCAACCAAAAACTACTGCAGCAACTGCGCACCTGATAATTCTAAGACTAGATTTTAGATATCAATATAAGGCATCATTCACGACACTGTATATCTTGGAACTGGGATCCCAAGGTGGTGATAGAATTTATGCACAACCCCCCACTAAACAGCAATAGGCTAAGACAAGAATATGGCAGAAGCGACAGATCAATGGTGGATACATTAGCTGAGGTGGTTAGTTAGGTGCAAATGAGGAAGGAAAAGCTACTGGTCATGAGGGACTTAACGAGAAGAAGGCTGACTGTGAAAACCTAGAGCCACTGGGGTGGTAATGGAGAATTCTACGCACCAACATGTTTGGGATACAACCAGACAGAAAGGAGAGGATGAACCAGCATGGAGGATCTAGTATTCATACTGAGTGGCTCCAATACATGGGATATTACATTTGAAGGGTCCCTCATCGCTAGCAGTCAAGCAGTCACACATGTGGAAATAACAGTGGAGAGTAAAGAAGCACTGTAAAGATGTGAGGTGCCAAATTTCAAAACAGTGGACTACACAGGCAAGAGGCAGTTCCTGTAAGAGATGCAGTGGGAAAAGAACTATATGAAAGGCAGTGAGATGGCCAGAAAGTGCAGCGAGGCAGCGAAGTTCATATCCAGGTGCAAAAGAAACAGTGGAAAGACCAGAGCGAGTCTATGGATTATCCAGTGGAATATAGAGTCCAAAGTAAAATGTGCTGGAGTATGGAAAAGGTATAGACGACAATGAACTCAGCAAATAGGGGATTTGAGCAAGAAACGATTATACAGGAATAAGATGATGAGAGTCACAATGGCGGTACAAGAATGCTATTAGTATCTATGGCCAAATCAGATCCACAGCTGTTATATAGCCACATTATGAGGAAGAAAACAGTCATGGAACAGGTAATCAGGCTGAATAAGGAAGGCAGGGAGCTCATAAAGAATGATCAGGAAGTCTGTAAAGAGCTCAGCAAGAGATTTAAGGAGGTATTCACAAAAGAAATAGAAGGTTGTCAGAAAACCCAAGAGGTAGAGTGCACCAGCAAACGTTGGACACAATACAGACAGCTGAGGAGGAAATGAAAGCAGCTGCTAAGTGAGCAATGTACCTCAAAGGTGGTGGAACCAGGCAGTATCTGTCTGTGGGTATCGTGAGAAGGGGTAAAGGTATTGTGTGGGCCACAAGAAACAATCTTCAACAAGTTTATAGACATGGTAGAGACCAGCGCCACTGACATGTATAGTATGTAAAGTTATGAAGATTTCCAGGAGAAGAGTGAAGCACCTAGGAAGGATTGGTTCTTATATGATAAACAGCACGACTTCAGGGATGGAAAATTCTTTGTAACAAACCTACTTGAGTTTTATTACCGGGTAACAGGTGTATGATAGGGGAGAGAGAGAGAGAGAGAGAGAGAGAGAGGAGAGAGAGAGAGAGAGAGAGAGAGAGAGGGATGGGTAGATTACATTTTCTTGGATTATAAGAAGTATTTCGACACAGTACTGCATATGAGAGTCAAAAAGATGGTAGCAGTAATAAAAGAAAAAGGACTACAATGGATCAGGGTACCCCTGAGAGGACGGAAACGAGTGACGGTCCGTGAAGAGGTGTCAGAATGGGCGCATGTGTTGAGGGGGTTCCACAAGAATCAGTCCTCGGGCCGGTGCTGTTTCTTGAACATGTCTAGGCATGACAGAAAGGATATTGTCAGAGGAATCCCTGTTAACTTATGACGTGAAACTAATGTGGAGAGTACATGCAGACGAGGACTAGGAAAGGTTAGAAATGGATCTGGACAGGCTAGAAGCCTGGTCCAACAAATAGCTCCTAGAGTTTAATCCTACCTAGTGAAAAATTATGAAGATTAGGGAAGAGCAAAGAAGACTACAGACGAAGTACAGGCTCGGGAGAAAAGGCTACAAACCTCACTCAAGCAAAAGGACCTTGGGGTGAGTATCATACTGAACATATCACTTGAGGTGCACATCAACCAAATAACTTCTGTAGCAAATGCGCCCCTGGCTACTCTAAGCATAGCTTCTCGACACAGCACACAGTGTACGTTAAGCTCATATTGGAATACGCAGCACCGGTATGGAACCCTTACCTTGTCCAGCATATTAACAAACTGGAGAAAGTGCAAAGGTTTGCAGCAAAAACTAGTTTCAGAGCTAAAGAGTACGTCCTATGAGGAGAGGTTAAGGGAAATTAACCTGATGACAGTGGAGGATGGAAGGACTAGGAAGGATATGACAACAATGCTCAAAATACTGAGTGAATAGAAATAGTATGTTTGAGAAATGGTAAAAAGGAACACGAGGGATCAGCTGGAAGTTAAACATTCAGATAAGTCGTAGGAATGTTAGGAAGTATTTCTTCAGCCTCATAATTATCACGAAGGGTAAATATCTTGAGAATGAAGTGAAAGAGGTAGGATTTATACATAGCTGTAAGAAGAGGTACGATAAGTCACTAGATGCCAGGAGAGAGTGGACTTAATTATGACCAGTGAAGAGGCGGAGGCAGGAGTACACATACACACACACACACACACACACACACACACACACACACACACACACACACACACACACACACACACACACACACACACAAGAAACGACCGAGAATTATGTGAGGAACTCAACATGAGATTCAAAGAAGTGTTCACAGAGGAGACAGAAGAGACTCCAGAAAGACGGAGAAGTGGGGTACAACTTCAAGTGCTGGACACAATACACACAACCGAGGAAGAAGTGAAGAGGCTTCTGAGTGAGCTAGATACCTCAAAGTCGATGGGGCCGGATAACATCTCTCCATGGGTCCTGAGAGAGGGAGCAGAGGCGCTATGTGTACCCCTAACAACAATATTCAACATATCTATCGAAACAGGGAAGTGTGGAAGACAGCAAATGTAGTCCCAATTTTTAAAAAAGGAGACAGTCATGAAGCACTAAACTAGACCAGTGTGACTGACATGTATAGTATGCAGAGTTATGGAGAAGATTATCAGGAGAAGAGTGGTGGAACACCTAGAAAGAAATGAACTTATCAACAACAGCTAACACAGTTTGAGGGACGGGAAATCCTGTGTCACAAACCTACTGGAGTTCTATGACAGGGTGACAGCAGTAAGACAATAGAAAGAAGGGTGGGTAGATTGCATTTTCATGGATTGTAAGAAGACTTTTAACACAGTTCCACACAAGAGATTAGTGCATAAGCTGGAAGACCAAGCAGGTATAACAGGGAAGGCGCTGCAATGGATCAGGGAATAACTGTTGAGAAGACATCAGTGTGTCATGGTACGTGACGAGGTGTCAGAGTGGGTGCCCGTGACGAGCGGGATTCCACAGGGGTCAGTCCTAGGACCAGTGCTATTTCTGGAATATGTTAACGACATGACGGAATAGTCCTGGGGTTCAATCCCACCAAGTGCAAAGTCATGAAGATTGGGGAAAGGCAAAGAAGACCGCAGACAGAGTGCAGTGTAGGGGGCTAGAGACTACAAACCTTAATCAAGGAAAAGGATCTTGGTGTGAGTATAAAACATGGCACATCTGAGACGCAAATCAACCAAATAACTTCTACAGCACATGGGCGCCTAGCAACCTAAGAACAGCATTCCGACGTCTCAGAAAGGAATCAGTCCTTCAGGACTCTGTACACAGTGTATGTCAGGCCTATATTGGAGTATGCAGCACCAGTTTCGAACCCACACCTAGCGAAGCACATAAGGAAATTAGAGAAAGTGCAAAGGTTTGCAGCAAGACTAGTTCTGGAGCTAAGGGGTATATCCTACGAGGATAGGTTAAGGGATATCGATCTGACGACACTGGAGGACAGGAGAAAGGGGGGGAATATGATAACGACATATAAAATACTGAGAGGAATTGACAAGGTAGACAGAGACAGGATGTTCCAGAGATGGGACACAGGAACAAGGGGTCACAATTGGAAGTTGAAGACTCAGGTGAATCACAGGGATGTTAGGATGAATTTCTTCAGTCACAGAGTTGTCAGGAAATGGAATAGTCTGAGAAGTGATGTAGTGAAGGCAGGATCCATACATAGCTTTAAGGGGAGGCTAAGAATAAGTATAACAATGCTCCTGGAGCAGGAAAAGTGACCTAGCAGCGGCCAGTAAAGTGGCGGGGCCATTAGCTGTGACTCGACCCCTGCAACAACAACTTGGTGAGTACAACTAAATGAGTACACACACACAAACACACACACACACACACACACACACACACACACACACACACTCAAGAACTAATAATGTCTGCATTTCACGAAGAGGCAGTGTTGGCCAACAAAACAGAGTAATAAGAGGCAGTGTAGGACAACAATACACAGTAATAAGAGGCAGCGTAGGCCAACACAGAACAGTAATAAGAGGAAGTATGATCGGCCCTTGAGGCCTGGAAGCCTGGAAACACACGCATACCACATACAACAAATGCAAAACCCTTTATGGGCGCATTTGGAGCCCTTGCACCACAAAGGAATAACATATAACTATGATTACAAGAATAATTCTTCTAGAGTATTGCTAAAATATTTTCTCATATGTGAGCTTTAACGCGCAGTTTATTATCCAAGTTTTTCGTTTATATAATGTTTTCTCTGCTTCTTGACACAAAAAATAGACGAATATAAATATCAAGGGATTCTTTACCTTAGAACATGGGCGTGTGCGGGAGTGAAGGCGTGGTGCCTTCGGGCACTCTGAGGGTGAGGATGCTGTTGTTGTTGTTGTTGTTGTGTGGCTGGAAGGTTGGTAGGCTTTTGTTGTTGTTGTTGCTGCTGCTGTTGCTGTTGCTGCTGCTGCTGTTGTTTCTGCTGGAGATGGGGTGGGCGGCGGGGAGGTACGGGAGATCGCTCATCATTGCTCTCTGTGCTGGAGTCTGGAGGATGGAAGGTGAAGTCTGCACCTTTGGAAAGAGAATCTTTGCGTCAGAACAACGCAACGAGAGCACACGCATACATACTCTAAATCACCATGTGGTAAATAACAGATGTTTATAAAATACACCCATGTACTCCGGTAACAAAAATAGGTTATGAAACACACACACACACACACACACACACACACACACCAACCAAAGAGGGTAAAGAGTGGAATGATCATTGCAACAAAGTAATAGAGACAGTCTCAAAGCATAGTTTTAGGAATGGATTTGATAGAACCCACGAATCTAGTATGTTAAGCAAGCGACAAGTTAAGAGGCAGTTGCAGGAGCTAAAATGCATTGGTTTCAGTTTCATATAGCACTCAGAATGACAAAACTCTTAGAGATTATAACAGATGCAATTTTCCCACTTTAATGTCATATTGTGAGAAATGACACGGGGACATAAAAAGCGGTAAACCAGCTGATCTAAAACTGGCGGAGTTATAAGAAAATAAGGAAAATAAATTGAAAGGAGTAAAATGTCTATGTGATAGACTCAGTTAAGACTTGGGGACTTGAGGTGGGGTTAGTGGTGTACAACCCCCCCCCCCTCCCCACCCAAGAGAAAGAGCCAAAAAATCCGAATTCAGTGAGAACACGAAGCCTTCCTTAACATCATAGTGAAAGCATCTAGAAGTACTCACAAGAGTAATGAAAACCTGCTGATAATTGGAGACATTAACCAAAAGAAAGAGACTGTAAAAAAATTAGAAAGCCACAGAGAACCAGAAACATGTAATGGTAACAGGAAGTGGATCGTAGCGTAGAACTTCGTGTTGAAACATGTCAGTGATACAACTAATGGGGACCAATGTTTATAGTTTATATATATTTACCTTTTCATATAATTTTATATTGCCAATATGTATTTTCATTAATAGCTAAAATGATATATTGCTTTTTAATATTTGACTTTTTATTATATTAGCTATGTATATAGGTAGGATGTAACGTGTTACACTTCTCACTGTGCTCGCTGTTGAAGAGTTGTGATTGGCTATCTGCCGACACAAACTACATTGCTAACTACTGCTTGCTTGTTGGTGTCAGGCTCTACCTTGCTCCTTGCTGGAGTAGCATGGGCGAGTCACGTGATCCCATTTGATGTGATGCCTGTAGTTGAGAAATCTCTCTCCACAGCTGGTCATCGCTCGATCAGCAACTCTCTCCATCTCTCCAGAGATCTCTCTCGTCTCTGACTGATTGCTCGTTATTTGGACCATTTTGGTAGAGTATGGTTTTGCTGGTGAGTTGACACATACTTCTTGTAACACTGTGTAACTCTGTACATAGAATATAGTTCAGACAGTGATTTTTGACGTTTTGATGAGGTTGTATGTCATACTGACGCTTTAGTTCAACCCAGGTCCCAAGCTGAAACTTCTGACCTATTTTGTATGGCAGCAACGCACCGTCGTAGTCGAAGACTTGGTTATACTGAACTTTGATTCAGTGTTTTTAGAGAGTTTTATGACTTTTATTCCCCTCAAGGAAGGTTCCTTGATGTTGGTGAGGGGCTCTTGATTTAGGGAATTGAATCTGTGCTCCAGTTCCCCGAATTAAGCCTGAATGCCTTCCACATCCCCCCCCCCAGGCGCTGTATAATCCACCGGGTTTAGCGCTTCTCCCTTGATTATAATAATAATAATATGACTTTTATTGAGGATCTGCTGATGGTCCCCATTTAGGATGGTTATTTTGTTCCTTGTTCCTGACGCTGTGCTACTGCTTCTTACATTATTGCTGTTGGCGAATGATTCGTCATATTGTTCAAGGAAGCTGTTTTGATTGCCTTGTTGGTCAAGAAGATAGATTATTTGAGGAGATTTAGTGAGTCACTGATTAAGTCTAAGTCGAGTCGAGTCTTACTAAGACATAACGAGCACTTTGAGCACGCACACTTTCACACACGTGCATATACTAGTATTTTTATAATTGATAATAACGTGCCAGACGGCACTTAAGAGTCATACTGATATGAAATGTGCCTTCAGCACTATATTACCATATGTACAAGTTCTATTTGCACTACAAGAGATGTGTAGAAGCTTATATTCTAAATTAAATCAAATTCATTTACTTTAATTTTGTCCACCTAGACAACTTTCTTAATAAACATCTCGATTTTTATTTCGTTGGATTATCATCACCTAATTGTGATCCCAAAACTCTAATAATATTTACTCAACACAAGGGATAACTAGACATGTTCTTAATCCGACAACTTGTAAGGATTTTGTAACATCACCTTATATGAGTCTGATGTAAGTGGAATATGGAATTAGAATCTACATCGAGTACTAGATGCCTTGGGTAAGTAAATAGAGAGAGAAACTTAGCAAAAGGAAGGAAAGGGAAAACTAGACTTCAAAGAGGAAGTTCATTAGTAAGACTTGTGTAAGAGTTAGGTATCTTTATTCTGCAATGCTTCACCTACAAAGTAGGCTTCTACAGTCGAATCTAGAGGAGGCAGCATATGCAGTATATTTGAGGTGGTCAGTCCCCAAATCTACGTCTTTACATCTCTGCAGCTTCTGCTGTCCCCTCTGTATTCGACTGAAGGAGCGAAACGTTTCAAAATAAGATACATAACTGTTGCACATGTGTCTTAACAATTTATCGTTATTATTATTTTATTATTATCACACTGGCCGATTCCCACCAAGGCAGGGTGGCCTGAAAAAGAAAAACTTTCACCATCATTCACTCCATCACTGTCTTGCCAGAAGGGTGCTTTACACTACAGTTTTTAAACTGCAACATTAACACCCCTCCTTCAGAGTGCAGGCACTGTACTTCCCATCTCCAGGACTCAAGTCCGGCCTGCCGGTTTCCCTGAACCCCTTCATAAATGTTGCTTTGCTCACACTCCAACAGCACGTCAAGTATTAAAAACCATTTGTCTCCATTCACTCCTATCAAACACGCTCACGCATGCCTGCTGGAAGTCCAAGCCCCTCGCACACAAAACCTCCTTTACCCCCTCCCTCCAACCTTTCCTAGGCCGACCCCTACCCCTCCTTCCTTCCACTACAGACTGATACACTCTTGAAGCCATTCTGTTTCGCTCCATTCTCTCTACATGTCCGAACCACATGTCCGTTTTTGTATAACATAATAATATTCAAAGAAGAAGCTGCACGTGCGTGAGTAAATTCCTGAATTCAGTGTAATAAGAGAGGGAACTGGTAGGAAAGATAGCGAATGATATAACGGCGAATGTAGCTAGTAAAGTCAGGAGGCAAAACAAAAACTGATACACAGGAGATGAAAAACTAATCTTCAGACCAGAGTGTGTCCAAAGTTTGTGCAAGGTTGCTGAGTTGTAAAAGTGTTAAGTGTAAGTACATAGAAAATATATTGAAAACAAGATTTAGATTTTGTCTCCAAAGTGGCTAGTGTACTGAACACCCCATATCCATCCTGTGGACGGTAGCGCAAGAGCATATGGATACACAAAAGGCCTAGGAACTAGGCCCCCAAAGGGTTAACAGGAGTACAATTGGATTTATATCTACAGTTCACTTATCTGTTACAAGCAAATTTAGGAAATTTGCTTAATATGTCTGGGTTCTTATTTCCATTAATAACATATCTTGACAAGTCATATATGTTATTATATTATCTCTATATTCCTCAACAAGTGAACAATTAAGCACACAGTGTTTGATCATCATCTGTGTCTCCCAAACTGCCAGAAGTACTTGTAACCAAGCCTAAGCCTGGCCACTACAACATCAGTCAGTCTGTTCATATTGCAAGTTGCTCCATAAACATACTTCTCTACGTTTGTTATAGTGGGTTATAGATCTATTCGGGCTTCTAATTGCATTCCTATAACATTCATTTTCAATATTTATCTCCTAATATTATCCCTAATGCTAGACACAGATATACTAAAGTTATATTCTACATTCTCCTTCAACTTTATCGTGAAGGAGTAAACTAATGTGTGATGGGATCAATAGCAATTTTACATAAATTCCTCTTTCCCTGATTTTTGAGTATGTATACCTTAATTTTCCAATGAGCATGTTGTTGGAGTCATTATATGAGTCAAGAGAATTCAGTGATGACATAGAATCAGTAATAATGATAGAGTCAAGCTCAGTGTCATATGTTAGCTTTAGCGCCATTAGGATTGCAAACAATTCAGTTTGCAGTGTAGACGCCCAGTTAATTCTTATGCCTAACTCGACAGTTTTATGGTTCTTAACTAGGAAGGTGGCAACAAGAGCAGATGCAGCCCTGCCAGAAGACTCCTGTTTAGATCCATCAGTGTATATAACTTGTGATAACTTATTACTACCAGCTAGGTGAGAAATTTCTTCTTGAGCAGTTGCTTTAACAAGAGATTTAAGGAAGGGATTACTAGCAATGAGCTTCTTGGGAGGGACTTGCAGGTATGTGATATTAAATGAACACATCTTCCATGGAGGGGTGAAATGCTCTTGTTGCCTACAGTGATACAGTTCATGCAGGTTATAAAACTTAATGCAATTGCACGTTTTCACAATCCATTTAGATCTGTGTGTATTTACCTCTAGACATTTAGTAATATTCATAGTGACAGCGTCTGGTTCAATTCTTAACATTCTAATACCTAGTATAGTGTTAATCTTAATAATCCTATCACTGATACTAGAAATACCAAGCTCCTTCCTCATATTAAGAACCTTTGTAGATTTCGGACGACCAAGAATAATTCTGAGAGCTTCATTTTGTATTGACTCCAAATGTTGGAGAGTACGTTCTCTAGCTAATATCAACATGGGAGCAGCTATGTACATCATTCTCATGATTCTCACAATAGCACCATAGTTGGGGTTGTAGCCAGCAACATTAGCACCATAGTTGGGGTTGTAGCCAGCAACATTAGCACTATAGTTGGGGTTGTAGCCAGCAACATTAGCACCATAGTTGGGGTTGTAGCCAGCAACATTAGCACCATAGTTGGGGTTGTAGCCA